TGATCATGCTCTTCACTGATTCTCATCATGAAAACTTACTTGATGTTAGACAACTGTTTGCAAACAGAATCAAGTATATTCTGAGAATGACATTTATAATGCAAAGCCCATGTTTTTCTTGAAGTTGAAAAAACTTTGAATGTAATGATGTGACAACTCTGTTGTGAATGAATCACTAGCTAGAGAGAAAATTTTGAATTTTTTTTTCATGAAAGATAATTCAAGCATATGATAGCAACACAAATATTTAACACATCTTCTAGGAGTCAGCTAACGCTATCTCGTCGTAGCATGCCCTTGAAATAAACCTTGTTTCAATTAGGACTTTTAAGGGTTGTAATGTGGCCTTGTTCACGGTTTTCAGAAAAAAGGATTTGAGGCTCGAAGTCTAACCTAACCCACCCATTCTCCATGATGTTCTCCATTCCTCTGCGTGCTAAGCGGGCTCTCTTGGACAGAATGTCCCAAAACGAATCTTTTATTCTGAAAACGCGTAGCTGGAGCCGTGCCTACAACACCTTATTCCTCAATGCTCCAAAATGCAACAAATACCTACAAAATGAATGGAAAAACATCAAATGATACACTATATACATAAAAACACAAATAAATACAAACTAAACGTATTTATACACAAGTCGGGTTTATTCAATGGTATTAACAACAAAGAGTAGATAAGTGCAACAAAAAGTATATACAAAAATAGCTATAATTTTCACTTATCGAACTCTCCCCAACTTGAACTTGTTTGTCCTCAAACAAGACCAAACAATTCAAAGAATCAAAAGTAATCAACCAAAATATCATGAATCAACAAGTTTTGAAAATGGAAAATAAATGCAATGGTTCAAATGAAAAACAATACACACAGAGAAACATATTTACCACTAAACTACGACAATAACATAAACACGAAACGAATTTTAAATACAAAGAACATGCCAAACATTCTAAAACAACACTAGTTCACAAATGAATCACACCTAGCAAAAACAATCATCGGTAGATGAAAAACACACAAAATAAGGTATTTTCACTCATACACAATCTTTCAAACAAAAGACTAAATTATGCATTCATCCAAAAACTCATATTGGAAATACAAAGGCAAGAATCTCAAGGGCTTTTTAAGGTTGTAATGTGCCTTGGTTAACAAACAAGGGATAAATCCTAAAGCTAATTGAAACAAAAACTTGCCTAAACATAAGGGAGTGATCAACTCACAAAGACTCAAGCAAAATAATTTCAAACAAACTTCTTATTCATTCCAAATTTTAAACCAACACACATCACTTATTAACGCAATTATTTGAACTCTTTTTGTTTTTCTTTTTCAAAGCTTTTTCAATTTTTTTCTTTTTTTTTTCTATCTTTTATTTTTTTTCACATTTTTTCTTTTATTTTCAATCTCATAACAATCAACCAATAAATACACAATCATTTTTCTCCCCAACTTGAATTCAACCATACATTAAAGTGAATACTCCCTACTTTCTAAGGCAAGGTAAAAAATCAAACTAAAATAATGATTGAGGATTCAAGAAAACAACGAATAAACATCCATGCAAAAAGGGAAACTAAACACTCATAGACAAGAATTTAGCAAATACAACATGGATATCGACAAAAAGCTCAAAGGGGTTACTAATGATCACACACTCACAAGGTGAATTGACTATTTGGCTAGGTATTTATGCTCAAAATGAAACAAAAATGCCTTAATCTTTTTCTTGCATTCATAAAATCAACACAAACAAAAGATTAAGCATAATAAAATCCAGTTAAAAGAAGAATTGTGACCTCCAGCATATGTGAACAATGGAAAGCTACCTCACAAAAAGGGTAGGAACTAAAGTGATTCACAAATGAACAAGTATACAAAAGAATGAATGGCATAAAAATTATAAAAATTATAAGTATAATGAATATGCTAAAGTATAGAAAGTGATAAATACATACCTCGAACGTGTACAAAACTTTAACAAAATTATTATCACGCATTCGCAAGTTGAAACACTCAAACTTGGAAAATCACCAAAAGAGACTTCAAGCTATCGAACCAAAATTGAGTCCAAACAACAACAAAAGAATTAATGATACTAATATTATTTACTATTTAAAGCCTAGGTGGAAGTGGGAAAAAGGAAAGCAAGTGAAAACTAAAAAAAAAACTTCACTAGCGCAACACATCAGAGCGCGCAACACCTGAACAGCAAAAATTAGTCCAGCAGACAACAATGCAACCTCCACATTCACCTACACAATCTCAAATATATGTATAATATTTACAACATACAAACACAGTTCCACAAGCTAAACACGACAAGCTTGCAGAAAAACACAAATTGACATAACAAAACTAACAGTTGAAAGTGAATTAACAAGTTGAAAAGTGAAAAATTTAAAAATTTTAAAAACAAGTCCAATTTCAACTTGTTAAAACACAAGTCAACTCATACATAAACGAATACAAATAAAACATACTTTTTTTACATCATAAGCTCTACGCCTTTATTGTGCGAGCTAGTAACCTCCTCTTATCATGTCATGGTATTGTCACACCGCACAAACCTAAAGAAATTGTCCTAACATCCACACAATAAACGTTATGAAAACGAGACAATTCACAACAATACGTGAAAACAAAGAAAAACACATATATACACCTCGGTAGCGATCTCTCAACCACCTCAACAACACAGAAGTCAACTGTGCTCGCCTGTATCGACGATCTCTCAGAGCGACACAAGCAACACAGATTCAATAAGCTCTGATACCCAAGTAGATGTCAATTCTAAATCTATCTCTAGAATCAGAAACTAACAAATAATCATCCTAGATAAGAATCTAAGCAGTATATGTCTATAACAACTTAAATTCCTAACATAAAGTAAAAATCTAGGACAACAATCCATAAAGATTCGTAAAGCAAGTTTTATATAACGCCAAAGGCGACAAATATACACGAGTTCAAAGAAAATATACATACAAACCCAACCAATAGAGAATACACAAAGAGGAAGAGAAATGAACCACAAATCTATCGGTTTGTCAGCACCGATCAAAGAACAATCCACTCCAGATCATCCGTATGCAAGCTCCATAGTTATTATCTAAGTTAATCCTAATAAAATTTACAGGTTGATGGAGTTGGGAGAAAAAACTTTCCCAAAACCATAACCTAAAAATGAATGAAAATGAAGTTATAAAAAAAATCTCAACAGACCGCACTAAGCAGCCTCAGCGCGCTAAGTGGGCTGCGCGATATTTACACACTAAATCGATCTAAACTGCAGTAAGCGCGCTAAACGGGCTTCAAAACATTGTTTCTTCCAAATTGTCAAATGCAAACAGCACGCTACAAAATATGCTGAGCGGTACTCGCTTAGCGATCTCTGTGCGCTAAGCGGGCTCTCATGAACAGAATATCCCAAAACTGGTCTTATGCAAGCAAAATGTAAGTTATTAATTTATCAGGTGATATAGGTTAAATCGTATCGTGTCCACAGAGATTGGTGTATTGAAATGTCGTTCGACAATTCTCTCGTTAATAAGTTTGGTTTGAATTGGTAAAACATAAAAAACATAAAAGTAAATATGAACATGAAAGAATTCATTCTCTAAAGAGATGAAACTTATCAAGCATGCATATAATCTACTTCTCACAAACTTAAACTTATCGACCAGTTACACTTAACCTACAATACTCCTCAGAGTCATCTAGCATCGCTCACTCTCTAAGTTATTTCTAACCCAAAGTAGAGAGAACTACTATATCATCTCGGAGACGATCTCTCAGCCAACCTCAATAACACATCTGACATTCATATTACTCGTATCGACGATCTCTCAACCAACACAACCAACACAGAAACATTAAGCTTCGACACCCCTAAAGATTGTTAGCTCTAAATTTATCTCTAGAATTCAGAAACTAACAGATAATCATCTTAGATAAGGATTTAAGCAGTATATATCTATAACAACTCAAACCCCGAGCACAGAGCAAAAATCTAAGATGACAATCAACACAGATTTCTAAAGCAAGTTAAATATAACGTCATGGGCAACAAATATACATGAGTTCAAAGTAAAATCATATACAAAACCCAACCAAAGAGAAATACACAAAGAAGAAGAGAAATGAATCAAAAATCTCCCGATTTGTCAGTGCCGATTGATGATCAATCCACTCCGGATCATCCATATGCAAGCTCCGAAGTTGTTTTTCTAAGCTTTCTCTACCAAAAAATGAAGGTTTGATGAGTTGGGAACAAATACCCCAAAACATAACCTAAAAAAAGTGTTTTTTTGCCCCTTTTAACGTGATTCTGTCCAGGGGGCCGCGCTAAGCGGCAAAATCCCGCTAAGCGCGCTCTACTGTCATGAGAAAAATATCAGCTTTTTGTTTTCGCCATAACTTGAGAACCGTAACTCCGATTTATGCTTGATCCAAAGCATTGGAAAGCTTATTCAATTATCTATCTAACAATGCCTAAATATCAACCAAATTGATGATTTCTTATTCTTTGATTTTGAGCCTTATTCGTTGACGAGTTGCTCAAAATCGCACATTTGAAGTCGTGTCTTCGACACTTTATTGCTCATGCTCCAAATACACATCAATACCTATAAAATGAATGGAAAAACATCAAACGATACACTATGTACATAAAAACACAAATAAATACAAACTAAACGTATTTACACAAAAATCAGGTTTATTCAACGATATTAACAAAAAAGACTCGATAAGTGCAACAAAAAGTATATACAAAAATAACTACAATTTGCACTTATCAATAGTCAATGTTAAAGAAATACAATAGTCATCAAGGACCCTTCATGTAGTACTAAAAGTAGATTCATAGGCTACACTAGTTGTCGGTACGGCTAAAACCTCTATAGAAATGCTTGCAATTATTATCAATGTAATGGCTTGTGAGACACGTGCAATTAGAGTCTTGGGTGAATGTCCATGTGTTTGTAGTGATACAAATTCAACGACAATTTTTTGACAAAGTACTCTTCATCTTTGCTTTCTCCACTTCCCAATTCTTCAAAATATCACGCGTCAATGTATTGCGTGATGGGAACTTAAATTTCAGTTGTAAGCCATAAATAACCCTATGTAAATACGGATGCTCTACCTTTTGAAATGGAAGTTTCATGGCTACAAACATTTTCATCAAGTCCATTCGGCTAACTTCTTGGTCAAATTTGGGAATCGAAGAGGATGAATTAACAGTCACTTCCCTATTTTCCATTGAGCTTGAAGATGGTCGATGCATCGTCACATTCACCACATTATCCTGGATTAGAACTACATCTTCTCAAATGAGCTAGCATTGTTCCACCATTATACTTGATCAAGGAGCCACAATGGTTACACTATGCTGACTTTGACATTCTTGTGTTCAACGTTGGTGTAAAGTGATTCCAAGCTTCTGACCGGTTTTTACGCTTATGAGGCAACATACCAGCATTATTTGAACTTGGAGGCGTAGAACCGGTATGTTCTTCTATCTCAAAGTCCACAACACTGTCATGACTATCCATATCAAAGTTGCTACAATTTAGCAGAAATTGTTTAAGCACCAGTTAGAAGCAATCCATAAAGTAACCAATAGTATCAATACTAAAACAAATCTTAATACTCAGATTAAAAAACTATTCAAATCAAAACCAGATAATAAAGTTAACAGAACCATTAAATTGAATCAACCTAATTAAAATATTACAAAGACAGCACATGCAGAACTATCAGTTACTGTCGCCATATATAGATGGCAAAAACACTAGCTAAAGCATACAAATGCCATTATATACTGTCATCAAAGCCATGTCGTGCTTATGAGAATAGTCACCACCCTCTCTTTTTTCCTTAAAATATAATCCCATTACATGTTCTGCAGTGATCTTAGAAACAGAAGTAGCGGAACTAGAATGTGCATTCTAAATTGTAATTTTTACAAAGGTGCAGCAAATTTGGTAAAACTTAAAAAGTGTTGCATAAACCAAGACAATGCAATCAGTATGAAATTATAAGTGACAATTGGACAGCTTAGCTATAGGCAATATGGATATTCAATTCCACTAATATTTACATTTCACAAAAAATACAAATGCAAATCCATTACTAAGTACCAGATATTATAATTGTGCTCTAAAATAAGTTGAGTTTATTATTTCTATACAACAGAGAAATCCGTGTGTACAAGATATTATAATGGTGCTTTGAAATTAGTAGTAAGTACCTTTCTTTTATTAAATGACTTGGAGAAAACTCTTATACAAGAATCATCCTTCGCATTAGTACCAAATTTCATTAGTGAAAGTTGTGTTTTCATTATTAGAAGCATGGGTTGAAGATGATAACAAACTTAAATGAATTAAGTTTCATTGTTACTTAACTTAAATTTTTTTTCGTTCAATCTAAACACATGTTGCTTATCTCTCGCTCAATAAAGACTTCTCATAATTGAAGATGGCTTGGTCAAATTATTATTAATGATATACCATCAATAACCATTTCACAACTTGATCAAATGAAATTTGAATCATGTTTTTTGAGCTTACTAAGTCAAACTCCTACCATTGTGTGGCTCTAGTTTCTATCACTCTGCTTATGACCTATATGCCACTAATTAGCTGATGCTCTCTTTTTTGTGTCTGTGTCGGTATCAAACACTTTCACATATACTTGTGATTACATTTAATTTATTCATTTTTTCAAATTATTACCAGTGTCGCCGTGTCAATGTCGGTGTTGTTTTCAGAGTGTTCGTGGTTCACAGTGAGCTAACTACTTTTAAGGTGCAGTCAACTCCAATTCACTACATGGTCAAATTGCATACTCCAACATGTATTTCAAAATTGAATAATAAAAAGCGAGAAACTTGACAGAGACCTTAAATCAAACAAGTTGAAAGCAATTTCATTGATATAACAAAACAAATTTCATTGCTCCTAAAAAACCTAATAAAGGGATTCTTCATAAACCTCATACATCTAAAATTAAAGCGAAATCAAGAGTAACAGATTTACCTCAAAGAGTCTAGAGCAGAGATATCACCAACAATATCGGAGTAAAGTGAAATTGAAATCCAATCGAAGCCAAAAATGAAATCGAGTAAGTAAAAAACAAGAAGAAATCGAAATCGAGATCGAAGATGAAGGTGATTTTAAGGGAGAGGTGTTTTGTGAAATTGATTTGGGATTTAGAGTTCACGATACTTGTTTGGGGAAGTGCATGGCTACGTTTGAAATCTGAATATGAATGTGGTAATAGAACTTTTTTTTTAATTAGATGTGGTAAAACATTTTTTTAATCATGATTTGGTGAAACATTGACAGTATATTGGAAATTGTAAAACGAGTTTATTGTTATAATAATTAACATAATATAATTTTAGAAATATCTATCTTAAATACAAATTATTGGAGATGTTTGATTTCTCAAAGATAAAATAGTAATATCAAGCATTCACTTAATAAAATAGTATTAATATTTTTATTAGTATAAATATCTCTTTTTGGTAAATGTAAAAGATATATATTTTTTACTTTAAATGAAAGAAGAAATGTCATTGTTCTCACTTCTTCACTTTCTATTTAATTTGATATTATAAACTATCATCATATTAATTTCACAAATATTAATTAAGTTAGATTTAAATATCTGATTTTTCTTAACACAGTCGTTTCTATCGGAAATTTTTACTACACTATATATATATATATATATATATATATATATATATATATATATATATATATATATATATATATATATATATATATATATATATATATATATATATATATATATATATATATATATATATTATTGTTATTATTATTATTTGATTCAGTTATAAAAAACTGACAACTTGTCAAGTGACCTATAATAAGTGTGACTATTCTTATTATAAATTTTGTGTGGAGGTGTAAAATCCCATATGCAATTACTAACATTTATATTTATGTGATTACTAATTTTTATATTTATGTGATTACTAACTTTTATATTTAATGGAAGTCTGAGACTTCATATGTAATTACTAACATTTATATTTAATGGAAGTCTGAGACTCCATACGTAATTACTAATGTTTATAGTTATGCAATTACTAAGTTTTATATTTAATGGAAGTCTGAGATTCCATATGCAATTACTAACGTTTATATTAGTGGAGGTTTAAAACCCCATATATTGTTACTAACTTTTATATTTAGTGGAGGTTTAAAACCTCATATGTTGTTACTAACTTTTATATTTAGTGGAGGTCTAAAACCCCATATACATATACTGTCTTTTATCATATGTGTTCATTTACCTTATATGTTATCTCATAATTATCTCTATCACTTATAATGACTAGATGATATTTAACACACTTAAAATTTTTTGCTAGATAATTTTTTATCACTCTTAACATTTTTTCCTTTTCCCCAAATGGTAATATAACGGCTATTTTTCAAAGTTACTTCTATAAATATTTCAACTTCTTTCATAATTTTCACATCTTTCTCAATACATCCATCCATATTTTTCAAATGGCTACAATTCTTATTTTGTTCATCACTCTTCTTGTTATTATTTTGTTTCTTGTCAGTATTATTAAGTGTGAAGAATTAGGTAATAATTTTGTATCTTTGATAATAATTATCGTCTTACCATTATTAATCATAACTTTGTTTCTTAGTAGATATTTTTGAATAATATGTAGTCATGGATTTTGTAATTGAATAAATTGATATTTTTTTAGTTCATGCATTAAATATTGATGATGTTCATCTGAATTATAGATGTAATCATGTCAAATCTTAAGCATCAATTCAAAATTCTAAGCATAACTGGGGACAACTTCATAACTTGGAACAACAATTTAATTGAGTATCTTACATATGAGGGGCTTAACAAAATACGTGAAGGAGATAATTCTGGAAAATCAACAGACGACCCAGATGAAATGGAAAAGAGAAAGTCAAAAGTGAATAGAATAATCACACACCATCTTGATGATGGATTGCAAACAAAATACTCAAACGCTAAAGATCCTAAGATTTTGTGAGATAAAATTAAAGCAAGATTTGTACATCAGAAGAAAGTCATGTTACCATCACTAATGGATCATTAGAACAAGTTAAGGTTCCAAAATTACAAAACTATCATTGCATATAACTCTACTATGCACAAGATTATAGCACAACTTGAATTTTGTGGCACAATTATAACTGAAAAAGAAAAGTTGGAAATAACTTTTTCAACTTTCCATGCATCCTAGGTATTATTGCAACAACAATATATAATGAGGGAATTTGCTGAGTATTCTGATTTAGTTGCAGCCTTTCTAGTGGCAAAACAGAATAATGAGCTTCTTATAAAAAACCACCAGTCACGACCCATATGTACAATAACATATCCTGAAATTAATGCCTCTACCTTTAATCATGAGTGTGGAGGCTTTAATTGTCTTACGAGACATGGTGGTCATGCTCATTTTGATGGTAATAATGGTTGTGCTCTTTTTAATGGTCACATTCAAGAAGGATATCATGGTTGAAACCTTTTCCATGGTCAAAACCATTTTTGTGGTAGAGAACGTAGACGAGGTCATATGAATAATTTTAGATCTCTCAGATATGAAGAAAATAATTAGACTCGCCAAGGAAAGGGTAACTATACCTGTAATACGGTGGGAGAACTGACTTGGTTTTGTGTTTTATCGTAAATGTTGCAGATAGCAAGAGTCGCCACCTACTTTTCTTTTATCCAATAAGGAAAGGGTGAAAAGAACAGGAAAGACCTTTGAAATTTTCTTGAGTTCGGGGGGGTAGGTTATGAAAAGGGAAGGTGTTAGCACCCTTTTCATTCGTAGTTATCTACGGGCTCTTAATCGCTAGCTCACTTTGTTATTTGAAAAAATTTGCTTTTGTGTGTGTGTTTGAAAATATTTTGAAAAAAATGCCAATAGTAAGGAAACTTTGTAATGATTCTTGTATTGGTTTAAGAATTCATACAAAGTGTTTGTTTTTTTTGAAAATATTTCAGAGAAAGTGTTTGTGAAAAAGATATTTGTTTTGTTTTTGTGTGAGCAAGCGATTAACAGTATTCTACCCTTACTCACAACTCTTTCGTGCTATTTTCCTCATCCTTTAGATAGTATTATCCTACCATTAATTAGTAGGAAGCTCTATCGTTGGATATGAAGGGACGGGAGCGAGTCATCGTACTGTCATAAAGGGAACTCGTAGGGGCGCTTTAGCAATTTATCATAAGGGACTA